GCATATGTGCATCCTATGCGGATCGCCTCAATATTGCGCCCTGGATTCCACTTTTAGCCACCATCCACCTACAAGACAGAGTCCACTACTTGTAATGAACAACGTATTAGAAACGTGACCGTCTTACCAACGCTTACATGGGTTTCAAATAATGATAATAATGAAGCTATGCCACCATCTAATAAATCAACGTACATAAACGATATTGTGGAATGAGATTTCAAAAACATCAACAAACTTCTACAATTGTGACACTCAAGCCATTTTCCGATCAATGTACATCGAAATAGATCTATTTTATTAACCCGTATGATAAGCGTGAAGGAATTATATGGTTAGAGGATAATCGAAGACAAAGTGGAAATACAATAACAAGGTAACAACCTAAGACGACATAAGATCATTAGAACAAAGTGATGATCGCATATGGAATAATAAGAAAGCTCGCTTCTAAATGAAGCAAGTATGGTGATATAACGGGATGGATTATAATACAATACTGGAAGCGGATCAACAATAGGAACATATGAAACAACTATAACTGCTACCCCCCTCTCACTAGAACTTTGTACCTTAATGTTGGGGACGATAGATCCCCAAACTCATATTTTAAATTTTATCGCATCGATCAACTTATTGATTAAATGTTTAAATATTTGTATTGGGGTCAATTGATGAACTGATCGATTAAATATTGGAATAGCAGTCAATAGATGAACTATCGATTCAATGGGCAAATAGGTCAATTTATGAACTCATTGATTAATGTTTAAAAATTTTCTATGACAATATCGATTATATATATATATATATATATATATATATATATTGTGTTTACTTGCTGCTGCTGCTTGCTTGCTTGCTCGCTCGTTTTCTGGCTGTTTGCAGAAGATATTTTCAATACCAAGCCTGGACTTCTCCTTCTAGATAGCGGGGCTGGGACGCGTCAATAGTTAGATCACTGGTCTTTGGTCACTGAGTATTGTTCTCGTTCGCAGTTTAAGTGAACCCGTGAAGCTTCAAACCTAACAATTTGGCGACGGGGATGGGATTCGAACCCACGCAGGGAAGCTTCAAACCTAACACTTAATGAGTCTTATGGATAAAAACGTGACTTTCAAGATTAATAGGTAGGAAATGTAGTATTTTATCCACACCTAAAACACTTAACATTTTAACCCAAACAAGTATTTCAATGGACCAACAATGACTGCCAATATACGTTGGCTTCCGAAATACTTATTTGCTGTTTAAATTCCATCTAATATCGAACAAAGAAAAATAGAATGTACGCAAAACTCCGCAGGCTACAACGGTCAAGGTTAGTAGCATGGGCAGACAGAAATGCGCTTTTGTTTAGTGTGTGAAGGGTTTTGATTGAACAGACATTTTTTCTGAACAAGTGAAACTGTACATAAAGAAACACAAACAAACATGTAAATAGCTCACAACAAACAGAAAGAATTATATGAATGAGGCTTGGGTAGATTTAAACTGACTCACTACCAGAGTAATTCTGTAAATCTACCTTGAAACCAGAAATCGGGTCATCTGACCATATGGTTAGGGTTAAAGATTCACATGAAAATTCCACATGAATCTCAAGACCTCAAGAAAAAGAAAACAGAAGTGATGAAAAGTTCCGACAAACGCCTTCAGTAATCCCAAACATAAATTCGACAAAACTGGATGATATAATGAAAAAGAATGACCTCAACTCTTTGTAATAATGTTTTTAAGCATGGTAATATCTTCACAACATAATTTAACAAGAACCAGTATGTTTTAGAAAGTTGACTATTTATAAAAGAGCAGTAGTCACTGGTTACTAATTGCAAAAGTCAATCGTTTGTTCTTCAACAGAAATCGTGAGCAGCGGAACATACGAATAATCACAATCGCTTTGATAGACTTGGATATATTACAAAATTCAAAGCCCTAAAAAAACAGTTCAGGTGAAGTGATATTATATATCTACCACTTTTTACAGTCCCAAAGTAGTAGTGAGGCTTGCCCAAAATCATTACACTTTTCATCTTTCTGGGAAAGAGTTGGAGTACGTAACAGTGATGAAGATCTACTAATTGAAGTGCCCAAGCTTCAGTATATAGAAGACATCCTCTAATATTGGGTAGTATCACACAGGGATTTAGTTACCGACCGCCATTCGTATGTAGTGTGCTCCGAGTGTCATAGAAATGAAGAGAACCACATGACTAACTAAACTCGATTATCACTGGTTTTGGAAAACCACCACTAATTTGTGGTAATCGTGTGCATGAAAATACTGAAATGAACAACGTGTTTGAGGATAGTGAAAAGCATAATAAATGTTACTATCTTAAGACACTAAATTTCATGAATTGGACAAGTATTACGCATGAAGTTAAAATCGCTTCGACAGTGAGAACCGATTTCTGCTAAGACTGGGTGGTAAAGAGATGACAAAGTTGGTTTACAATACATTACTTTGCATCTACGCTGGTGTATTCTTAAACGTTGAGGAATATTTTGCCAATGAATGAAAAACTTGAAATTGTCAGCCCACATGTTCACATGCTTTTCTTTAAAATTGATTTGTTTTGTAGAAGTTGGAATTCGACCGACAAATCTATTCCGTTTTGAAAAGCGTTGACATGGGAACCTACTTAAATCGAAAATATCTTACGAATTCTTGGGATGTCAAATAGTACTGAAGTACAAATTTAAAAAAAAACACGTAAATACGTATTTCCAAGGTAGTGAACACATATCAAAAAAGAAGAAGAATAAATATTTGTAAAATCTCAGCGAATGAATTTTAGGTAAATCCAACGTTTCGCCTGGTAATCTGGTCCAAGCTTTTTCAAGGAAAATATAATCAAACAAAATTATCGAATATAAATAGGTACATGGTTCTCTGGTTTACTGTATACTGAATAAGTTAACCAATCAACGTTAACAATGTTAAAGTATGTATATACATTAATGTGTAAGAGATATGTGGTGTGAAACGAAAAGTGTTAAGATAACAAACTGTGTGTATACGTAAGTGATGTGAGAAGAAATTTCATTCAGCTATATATTGTCTTCGGTTTATGTATATTAAGAAAACATCATTTTATATATGAAATGAATCAAAATGTCACAACATGCATTAAATGAAGATAAATAAACAAGATAAACGACTGAATTCAAAGCGGAATGTATTTGTAATTGAAAGTTTGTGTTATTTTAATGTTCCAGTCAATTGTTTAACATATTCAGATAAGATAACTGATTTGAAACCGTTGATTAGTTAATATGATAAAGACTGATCAAATGGAATAAGGAGTTCAGGTTTACTTATTAATTGTTAGTTGCCATGGGATAGCTAGTTGTATTCCATTTCTCCTATTAATACTGTTTGAATTAGCCCATATATGTAGGGCTTCGGCTGTTAGTCGTTCTTTGTAAGAATTAAATCCTTTTTGAATGATTCTTGCGCCATTGAAATCAACTGTATGACCCGATTCAATCGAGTGTAATGCTATCGCTGATTTGTTCTCAAGCTTTCTTACATCATCTGAGGATTTAGGAATGTGCTTTAAGCACAGTTTGTGTTCCTTCACTCTTACATTCAGTTGCCTTGATGTTTCACCTACATACGTTGCATTACAGTCATTACATTTGATTTCATAAACACAATTCTGTTGTTCATTCTTGTGTATTGGATCTTTGATTCTTCCTAGTTTTGATCTTAGAGTATTGTTTGTTCGAAAGAATAATCTTATATTTTAAAAAGTTAGAATCCTTCTGATCTCTTCTGAAATACCTTTACGGTATGGGATTACAACTGTGTTAAGCCATTCTTTATGCTTAACTCTTTTTATAATAATATCATATCACGTTGAAATAGTTCGTCTAAAACATCTCGTTTTATAATGACAAAGGTGTCATATATGTATAATAACCAAATTTTCGGTTTCTTTGGTTTCTCCAATTATTACTAACTTAATCATGCATGCACCGGAAACAAGTGCTATCTCAATGTGTCCCATGGCAACTAACAATTAATAAGTAAACCTGAACTCCTTATTCCATTTGATCAGTCTTTATCATATTAACTAATCAACGGTTTCAAATCAGTTATCTTATCTGAATATGTTAAACAATTGACTGGAACATTAAAATAACACAAACTTTCAATTACAAATACATTCCGCTTTGAATTCAGTCGTTTATCTTGTTTATTTATCTTCATTTAATGCATGTTGTGACATTTTGATTCATTTCATATATAAAATGATGTTTTCTTAATATACATAAACCGAAGACAATATATAGCTGAATGAAATTTCTTTTCACATCACTTACGTATACACACAGTTTGTTATCTTAGCACTTTTCGTTTCACACCACATATCTCTTACACATTAATGTATATACATACTTTAACATTGTTAACGTTGATTGGTTAACTTATTCAGTATACAGTAAACCAGAGAACCATGTACCTATTTATATTCGATAATTTTGTTTGATTATATTTTCCTTGAAAAAGCTTGGACCAGATTACCAGGCGAAACGTTGGATTTACCTAAAATTCATTCGCTGAGATTTTACAAATATTTATTCTTCTTCTTTAGTGACTCAGATTAACTCGGCACCCAAATATTGTGAAACTATTCGTTCAAATTTAGGCGAAAGTTCTATTTATTGAATATATATTGTGACAATTGGAAATGCTACAATTATATATACTAAAGAAGTTTACTTGAGTTCTGGACTCACCTAATAAATGAGTTAGGCAATCACACTAATGAGTTGTGATATTACAACCACCAGTGTCACAAAGTAAGCTGGTTAAAAATACACTGAATGACAACCATAGACTTAAAACAATTTTGTGTGTAGGTAATAGTAATTATAAACAGTCTGAGAGATTTACATTTTTTCTGTTTCTAAAAGCTTGCACTTTTTTTATCCTGACATCAAACTATTTGATATCATGAATAGTCATATAGATCTCAATCACCCACCTGATTTATTAATAAGTGGCCGCCTGTTAGCTGATCCGTGACTGACTTGAGTATGTGAATCCAGGGGAGTTGCGACAAAAGTGGCATCATTTCCATAGTTTCTATTCAGTTGAGGCCCTCTATAAAAGTAAAATCTTTTATTATTTTACCTATCTTGGGTAATAAATATAGCCATTATTTGTTACAAACAACTTACAAACTAAAATGTAACTAAAGCTAAATATTGACTGACGTAACTCGTCTAATAAGTATGGGCACCCAGTTTCAAACCACACCATTTGAAGATAACTGATACTACGCGGGTGTTCAAACTAACGTATACGATAAGGGGCTTTCATCTAGGACCTATTGGTAGAACACCGATTATCTGAACCAATACACCCAAATTCATTGGTACAGCCGAGGAAGAGGAGAGTTCGCTCTCCCTCTCGAAACGCTCTCACATGGCTACGCGTATAAAGCCACTGTCACGGAAGTCCTACTCACTGCCTTCTCGTGGAAAGGATGTTGTTTACATAATCGAGAGGACGGAAAGCAAATGTCCGGCGCTTTAACCGAGTTAGTGGACATGGAGAGTCCACCTAGGGGAGTTGGAAAACCCTGATTCCGAACCAATGGTGCACAAAGGCTCCAGGATTCTGGAGGAACAAATGGCGTATGAACAATTATTGGTCACCGACTACCATGGAACTGTATCTCCCGACGTTGCTCTATTGCCAAGTGGATCAGACCTTTAGGTTGAAGGCTCGGAGTGTGGCCGCCTAAGAAAACCACCTGCTTCGATCTGGGAACCCGGGTAGTATCACAGCCCTCACAAATACCAATGATAACTGCTAATGGCCTCATTGTTATCGTGTGGCACATGTGTATTTGGTGCCCCCTCGTAACAATGTTTATGTTCAAATAAATATAAATAAATACCTGAACCACTAAGTTATTGCATGTCCCATATTAGTTTAAGTATTATTATTATTCATTTATTTGCACATAAATATTGGTACAAGAGGGCACCAAATGTATATGCGCCAAACAAAACAATCAGAATTCGAAAAGAAAAAAAAGAAGGTAAGGAGCGTAAAAAAAGAACAATAACGAACAGATTAGTATAAGGTAGTGTTATTATAATATTATAATAACAATAGTAATAATGAGGGAAATGGAAAGGTACAATCAGAAGAAATCTTTCAGTTAAGGAAGATAAAACCACTTTTTTAATGAGGAAAGTAAAAGAAGGTTACAGCAGAATCGCCACTGGCTTTTATTCTCAGCCATATTTGATAACGTCTCCAGTCACTATATCGCACCATCTCTAGAATCCCAGCCGAGGAGTCGTGAAGGACCAACACAACCCAGCCCTTTGCAACTTTCTTCCATAGCACGACACCATGTCATACACTGATCACCTCTCCACATTCACCAACCAGCCCCAGCATTAGGAAATAATGCACGACGTGGAATTTTTTGGGACGACATTCGTAGAACATGTTCAAACCACCGAAGTCGGTGTTTCAAGATGGTGACATCAATTGCATTATCATCTCTGTGCCCGAACACATGATGCCGAACCTCTGCATTACTAACATGTCGGCAATCCTTCGGAGACAGCGATGATCGAACACAGAGAGTCGTCTAACGTCCTTAACTCGGAGAGGCCAGGTTTCACAAGCATAGAGCAAAACTGCTCTCACCGACGCGTTGTAGATCCGACCTTTTACAGTGAGACTAAAATCACGAAGGCGCCAAAGATGGCCCAGATTGGCATAAGCCGCTCTGGCTTTAACTATACGTGCATTGATCTCAACACTCACGTCACCACCAGCACTTACGCAGCCACCCAGATACACGAACTTCCCAACTACTCCTATCTGCTCATCATCCAGGGTGAGTACAGGATTAGGATCCTGCCAGTCTTGTAGAAGTACTTTGCACTTCGAAGGTGCAAAGCACATACCATACCCACGGACACTGCCAACTGATTAAGTGCGGATTGCATGCCTAGGGCATTATCGCACAGTAAGACAATATCATCCGCATACTCAAGGTTGAGAAGTCTTTTTCCAGGCAACAGATCCACACCGCCATTACTTACATCCATCAGAGCTGTTTCCAGAATGTCATCGATGGCAAAGTGGAAGAGGAATGGTGAGATTAGGAAACCCTGTGTAACCCCACTGCTCGAATGGAAAAATGGAGAGAGATGGTTGTATGCCCTCACTCTACCTGGGGTGTTTGTATATAGGGCCTTTAGGATATTGATAAACTTCTCAGGCACACCCTTCTTCAATAGAAAATCCCAGAGAACAGTCCTGTCCAACGAATCGAAGGCAACCCTGATGTCAAGAAACATTATGATTGTTGGCCTTTGATAAGTATGACAGTGTTCTAACATTTGGCGGAGGGTGAAAGTATGATCAGTACATCCTCGACTGGAACCAAAGCCAGCCTACTCCTCGCGAGTCAATCTTTCTCGGGTTTTGAACAACCTATGAAGTATGACGGAAGCCAATAGCTTGGACGCAATCGGGAGTAGATTTATCCCCCGATAGTTGTTACAGGAACGACGTGAACCCTTTTGAAAGATAGAGACAACTATCGACTCATTCCATGACGTTGGTACACTCTCTAGCTCCCAGACCTTTGTAAACAACACAGTCAGTTCCTTAGCCAGAAAGTCACCACCATCTTTAAAAAGAGCCGGAGGTAAGTCATCTGGGCCCGGTAATTTGAAGTTCCTTGCGAAATTCCGTCTCATTCAGTGGATCAGACGTCACCGGCCATGGAGGGCAGGACAGTCCGACTGATGTTGCCGGAGCAGCGGGTCAGTTGAACTGCCCTTCGAAGAATTCTGCACATCGTCCAACACGTCGATGGATGTTAGTGATTGGCATCCCGTCATCCTCACAGATTGTTTCACTCACACCAGACTTCTTGCTGTCAGTGGCTCGAATGAGTTGGAAGAGCATCAGGCAGTTACAAAATGCAGCTGCTGCTTACAGCTCACTAGCTTACTCCAACCACCAGGCTTCTCGGTCCTTACGCAAGCTTTGCCCAATTTCTTTACGTAACATCCTTTGTTTGTGGTCAAAGTCACGGTCACCCGGAGAAGACCGACGGGCTTCGGTGAGTTGTAAGGAACCTGAAGAAACCCAGTGCTTATAAGCGGGACGTTTCGCGAACCTACAACTGATTTTACTTGCGATTTTCATGGCGTCATGAAGTTGCAACCAATGCTCATCTATACTTTTTGGTGGAATGGTAGCTAGCCTAGAGGCTAGCTCAATTCGATACTTACTTGCAACAGAAGTTGCAACCAACTTCCTGATATCAATCGTTTGGTGGCGGTCACTTCGTTGGCCACTGAAAAGTAAGGTAAGATTAGCGCAGATCAGGGCATGATCAGAGTTCATATAGGTACTCCAAAAGGAGCGGCAGTCTTGAACACAACCACGCCAGCGGTAGCTGATCGCGATGTGATCAGTCTGAGTCCAGGCTTGAGATGCAGAGGGAGGACGCCAGGTGGCACATCGGCGATGACTGTGCCGAAAGTTAGTGCTAGCCAGAAACAGGTTGTGGTCTGTGCACAGTTGCAGTAGATGGTCCCCGTTATCTGACCTGCGACCAACGAGTCCCCATCGGCCACCTAAACGACTCTCTTCTGTGCCTAGACGCCCGACCTGAGCATTCAAGTCTCCGGTTAGTACTACAATATCTGTCGAACGCACTTTCTGAAGAACAGGTAACTGGTGGTAGAATTCATCCTTCATTGCACCCGGGCTGCAATCTGTCGGGGCATAGGCGGAGATGACGGAAGACATCGTTTCTCACGCCGATTTTTTCTCACTTTGATGGAACTTTCTAATCTAACGGCACATAACCGACTGTTAATGGGGATCCAATCGATTAGTACTGCCTCAGCTCTAGTGCTTAGTGCGACACCAACGACAGCAAGACCAGACGAAGATGCCACAGGGTCCCCGGATAAACGCACGTAAAACAATCTTTTTGAAGTGACAGATGGAGAGCGAATTTGTAGTACTTCACCAGACTCTTGAATACGGGTCTCGGATAGACAACAAACATCGATATTAAGACTTTCCAAAGACATAGACAGCCCTATCTGTTGTCCAACCTGCATAAGTGTGCGAACGTTGAAGGCAGCCAGTTTGAATGGTACACGTGGTTTCAGAAAAACTGCTTCAGTATTCGTACTTGGTGGTAGCATACAATTTTTAACCAGGCAGTGACTCGAGAACGTTTAGATAGAACCGAGTTTCCACCATAGTCGAGCTGCTGTATAAGTCAAAAAATAAGAATACACAGTGGGAATAAAAGAGAGTGAGTAAATAACGTAGTAAATAATAATAATAATAATAATAATAATAATAATAATAATAATAATAATAATAATAATAATAATAATAATGTGAATCGTTTGACTTTTAATCGAAGCAAGTATAGTATTTCCCGTAAGTATTGTCATTTCATTGTTTGTGTGTGGGCTGTGATACTGCCCGGGTGCCCAGACCGAAGCAGGTGGTTTTCTTACGGGGCCACACCCCGAGCCTTCGACCTGAAGGTCTGACCCACAAGGCAGTGGAGCATCATGAGGAGATGCAGTCCCATGGTAGCCGGTGACCAACGATTGGTTCATACGCCATTTGTTCCCGCAGGATACTCGAGCCCATGTGCACCATTGATTTGGAATCCGGTTAAAGCGCCGGACACTCGCTTTTCGTTCTCTTATTTTCGTAAACAACATCCCCTGCCACGAGAAGGCAATGAGTAGGACTTCCCTGGCAGAGGCTGTATACGCATACCCGTGTGGGAGCATTTCGAGAGGGAGGGCCCACCCCACTCTCGGTCATACCAGGGCATTTGGGGGCATATTAGTTTAAGAGCATATGGCGAATTCTTCATTTAAACATCCACACGATTTATCCCAGTCGCTTTGGTATTTTGTACTCATATTTCTTAACGCAAAATATGCTTATGTTAACCTTGAAGGTCTCTTACATTTAATTGTGTATATGCATGTCTATATCTATAATCTAATTGATCGTCTATCTGTTCGCTATATTTTATACATCTTTTTTAAATAGATGAAGAATTAGCTTAATTATAGTTGTCTGTTGTGCAAGCTGTATGCTGCATTTGCTTACATGATTGCCTGTTTATAAGTGAATGCATGAAATAAATGTATTTTGATCCATTTCGTATTTCGCCTTTTTGATTTGACGTATTAACGTGAAGTACCAATGGTTATTTATGAAATCACACATAAGGTACACAAGTAGTAAACTGGGGTTAGAAACAGACACTGAAAGTATTGCCTTACATGTGATGTGCTAAAAGCAACAATCTTGCAGGGATTATACGATTTGAATACTCTAAATCAACCAGGTGATTTCGGAACGAGCTTAATCCTAAGAAATTCGAAGCTAAATATATAGCAACGCTTGCATATCGGTGACAGAGATAAGCAGGGAAGATAGTGAACATTCAGATATGACATCACTTCCTGGCATTACCTTATATGACATGACACAAAGGTCAGTCAGTCAGTCAGCTACAACGTAGGACCAGGCACATATGTGCATCGGTCCAGGTTGCCATACCGCATCAACACAACAAGATGAACACCAGATTCATAACAGTGGTTAGGTAAAAGGTGGTAATATATAAGAGAAAGATTGCATATAGAGATATAGTACAAGCAGAAAGAATTGGTTCGTAGAAAGAAAGATATGAAGCGATTTTAATCTCTTAGTTTAAGGGAAGACATGGAGTGTATACACCGACGCCATTGTGATCGATTCTGAGCCATGTCACCAAGAGTCTCCAACCATTGGTTACGAAAGTCACGCGGACCCCAACCAAGTAGTCTGCATCTACCAAAATGGCTCAGACTAGAAGTTAGTGACTTCAAGCACTGATGCCACGTTTTGGTTTGGCCGCCCCTAACTTTCTTCCAACCATTTCCAATACCGGATAGCATTGCACGTCGTGGTAATCGGTGTTCAGGTATACGCAACACGTGGCCCAACCATCTCAGTCGATGAAGATTCATAACCTCATCAACTGATTTACCATCATTTCCTAATACCCTGCGTCTAACCTCACTATTACTTACCCGGTTATCCCAGCAATATTTCTAAGGCATCTGTGGTCAAATACTAATAGCTTACGAGTGTCTTCTACTCTTAATGGCCATGTTTCGCTGCCGTAAATTAAAACAGAACGGACTGCCGCGCAGTATACTCGTCCTTTTATTGATAGACGGATATCTCGCCTTCGCCAAAGGTGACGTAAGTTGGCAAAAGCCAAACGAGCTTTTCGAATCCGTGCTGAGATTTCGTCCGATACCAACCCATTAGGGCTGATCAGACTTCCAAGATAAGTGAAGTTGTCAACGCGTTCGACTACTTCACTCCCTATCCTTAGTTCAGGTGTTGACGCAGACCAGTCCTGAAGCAACAACTTGCATTTAGAGAAAGAGAAGCGCATTCCAAACATTCTGGCATTGTTGCTCAGTGCTACCAGAAGACTCTGCATTTTGTCAGCGTCTTCACCAAACAGGACTATGTCATCTGCGTATTCTAAGTCGATAAGCGGACCTCCTGGATGGAGATCAATACCCGAGAACTCAGTCGACGAGAAAGTTATTTCCATCAGTAGATCTATGATGAAGTTAAACAAAAATGGGGAAAGTGGACATCCTTGACGGACACCACCTGAGGTTGCAAAACTAGATGACAGTTCGCCATAAGCTCTCACTCGACTAGTAGTGTTCGAGTAAAGAGCCTTTACAAGGTTTATGTACTTCTGGGGTACGCCTTTTAATGACAGACACTGCCACAGAATCTCGCGGTCTACCGAGTCAAATGCTGCTTTTAAGTCAAGAAAGACCACCATCGTCGGACGCCGATAAGTATGCCTGTGTTCTAGAACCTGACGAATGGTGAATATGTGGTCGATGCAGCCACGACCAGGTCTGAAGCCAGCTTGATTTTCTCGTGTTTGCAGTTCACGAGTTTTAGTTAGGCGTCTGATTATTATTGAGGCTAGTATTTTAGATATTATATTAGTTAAACTAATTCCTCTGTGGTTGTCACAGGATGATTTTGACCCTTTCTTATATATTGGGACGATAAGTGATTGTGACCAGTCAGATGGAATAACGTCTAACTCCCAGATCTTAGCTAAAATATTAGTCAACCTAACCGCTAAAACTGGACCACCATCCTTAAAGACTTCTGGAGCCAGTCCATCTGGACCAGCAGCCCTTCCTCGTTTCAGATTATCTATAACCTTTTGAACTTCAGCAAGAGTTGGGGGACCTACTTCAATGTTCCATTCACGCTGTCTGGGAATGGAGGGTAGTTGTAGAGTAGCTGAAGGCCAGCTGAACTGTTCTCTGAAATATTCAGCCCACCGTTCTAAACGCCTGGACTGGGAGCAGATGAGTGTATCGTCTTTTTCCGATATAATCTCACTTACACTTGACTTATTAATTCCAGTTTCTTTTATTAGTCTGTAAAGTTGTCTTGTGTTCCCTATAGTCGCTGCCTTTTCCATCTCTTTTGCTTTCGTTGCCCACCACTGCTCACGGTCGTTTCTTAGACTTTTTCTTAACCTAGATCTGATTTGTTGTCGCTCTTCATCATGTTCGGAACCTGAAGGGACGAGTTTGCGAGAATCCATCAGTGTGATAGACTTTGAAGAAATCCACTGGTTCTTTGAAACTCTGTGGTTTAAGTTGCTAATAGATGTCACTGCTGCTTCCACAGCTGCTTGTATGTCTTTCCAAGCAACATCTGGGTCAGCCTCGTCTTCAGAACTACCTAAGTGTGACCTCAGTTGTTCCTGGAACTTACTTTTGGTTTTTTCGTTACTCAATTCAGTTCTAATTGGTCTTTTTAATGTGGCTTTTTTGCGTCCGGTGAGGCGCAAGCAGAGGCGTGCCCGTATTAGGGCGTGGTCGGAGTCCAAGCAGGTACTCCAGAATGAGCGACAATCTTCTACCGACCCTCTCCAACGATGACTGATGGCAATATGGTCTATTTGAGTCCATCGTTGGTTTGGTGTAGGGGGTCGCCATGTTAGACGATGTCTCTCCTTATGCTTAAAATTTGTGTTTGCTAAAAATAAGCGATTGTCTGAGGACAGTTGCAGCAGACGATCACCATTATCTGTTCGCTGTGCCGGGATACTAAAATACCCACCTAAATGCCTTTCTGTTTGGTTTAGACTACCTATCTGGGCATTAAAGTCACCTGCTACGAGTACTATGTCTGAACATTTAGCTTTCTGAAGAAGTTCAGACAGCTTTCTGTAAAATTCATCTTTCATTTCATCTGAGCTGCAGTCGGTGGGAGCGTAGGCAGAAACGACAAAAAGGCAACGACGTGTGTCCCTATCCTTCCGAGTTCTTACGGAGCCGTTTAGCCGAACAGCACATAGACGACTGTTGATGGGGATCCACTCTAGCAGTGCTTGTTCCGCCCTCATGCTATGCCTACACCTGCCAGTCCACGAGAACTGGCCATCGGGTCACCAGATACACGTAGGGTGTATCTCGTTGGCTCTCCGTTTTACCGAGGTGAGGTCAAGTGAATGACCACACTGGAATCCTGTATGCGTGTTTCGGAGACACAGCATACATCGATGGAAAGAGACTCTAGGGTTTTAGCCAAGGAAGCCTGCTGACCGATTTGACATAAAGTGCGTACGTTGAAAGCTCCAATGTGTAGTTTGGAGCGAGGTTTCAGTAGACCTGGGACAGAGTTTTGAGCACTAGAATCGTTGGCTATGGTGAATTAATAATGGCAACCTGGACCGATGCACATATGTGCCTGGTCCTACGTTGTAGCTGACTGACTGACTGACTCCCTGGCAGAGGCTATATACGCGTGGCCGTGTGAGAGTATTTCGAGAGGGAGAGCGGACTCTCCCCACTCTCGGCCGTACCAAGGCATTTGGGGGCAAGATAGCTTCAAACCAGAATTAACAACATAATTACAAGTGTTCTAGCTCAACGATGTTTTTGCATAGGTGAATTAGTAGAAACAATCGCATACTTGTGATGTTTCATGCCAATTCAGTATAGAGGCTGATTCACTTACAAAAACCTACCAGTAAATAGAAAGTATGTTGAAAGCAAGTAACTTGTACTGAAATAATAAATCAGTCTAAAATAAGAGACATATCTCACTTGTGGGCTGCAGTAGTTGCCTGACGATGCATTTTGTGACCACTCGTTTCTCTTAATCCTGAGCCTGAAGCAGAATATGGCACTTTGCTACCGGTAAGTCTTGGTCTGTCTGAACACGCATAATCATTAGCGAAAGTAATTCGTAAGTCTTGATTTTGTTTGCAGGCTACTACTCGAATAGTATCTGCTATATTAGAATCTAGATTTGATCTAAAACTGCGACGTTCATTGTGCATGACAAGGTTTTCGAAAACGTTACTAGAGCTAGACGAATTTGTCAACTGATCAAAAGTAATGAACAGAAGAATCCAGGAAAACTTTCAGACGAAAGCAGCAGAAATCTGTAAAAAAGACATTTTCAAAAGTAAGAACACTAATAAGAACTATGAATGAACTACGAGCATAAAAACAACGAGCGACCTGAAGTAATTAAAAGTCGCCCCACCCCAAACAGAGAACATGAAAGCGATAGTTATCGCAATGAACGGTTGTAAACAGAATCTCTTTAGTAAGGGCCAATCGAAATCAAGCGGGGACCAGGTTTTACCTAAAAGGATTGAGTATGGGTATTGATAATCCAGGTTTAACTGAACATGTTTGAGACAATGTATATCCAGCTTTCGAGGTTAAGTCACAATTATAAGCTCTTCGAGAACCAAACACTAGGTGTTCAGAAAGAGGATAGGGATAGAAGTCGTACTCCCATACCTTGCTTACTTAACACATGATAAATTATAACAAGCATTCTGTGGTTACAGTAATGTTAACTGTAAATAAAACTTGTGCTTAATTCCCTAAATGTTGTCCGGCTTTAGATTATTTAAAACGGTTCACAAGGTACAACAGCACACACAATTCACGAATTTATTTTCGTGAAAAACTCCAGAACTCCTCGAAAGAACGATTGAGCCTATCATTTGGAACTTTATTTAGTGGTTTAATCTCTATATGTACATACAGATTATAATATTTCGGTGGAGTGGCCGAGTGGTCTAAGGCGCTGGTTTTAGGCACCCGTCTGTATAATACCTTTGAACAGCGATCCCGCTGTTTTGTCATTCGCGTTTCGAACTAGGGACATGTTATACGATCAGGTTACACCTCGCCCATATGTATGGAAAGCTAATATATCAGCCATTCAGGAATGCGCTGATAAGACAGATTGATTAGTAGATACTAGCATATCAGTTGAAGAAGCATGGTCTGTATTTAAAGGTAAATTTAGACTAGTTACGTCCCCGTTCATACTATACCTGGTACCGCGAAGACCGAATAATAGTCCACCATGGATAACTAAAACGATCAGGAAACTTATTAGAAAAAGGAAGAATCACTGTTCATTTCTACTGGCTTAGAACAATACAGATCCAGTTATTGTAATATTAGGATTGCCTGTAAAGCGTTAATAAGCAAGACTAGACTATTATATGAAAAACAACTGGTTAGGGATTCTAGATATAGTCCGAAACGGTTATTCTCGCATATAAAAAGGCGAACAAAGAGAAGCGATGGAATTCCATGACTTTTGATACGAGATAATCTTAGCAGAGAATGATGCCGAAAAAGCTGAAGCTTTATCGGAATACTTTAGTAAAGTGTTTTCTATCGGTAATGAGGAACGACCAATGATTCATTGAGACCGTGACGGTTCGCTGATGGATCCCGTAGTCATTGAGAGCGGAATGTTCCTGTGGATGTGATTTTCATAGATCTAAGTAAGGCCTTCGATGAGGTTTCCCACTCTGGTCTTAAATTCAAACTTGAACGTTTTGTAATCCATTATACAGTCGTAGTTTCGATAAGTAACTTTCTCCATGACAGGAGACAGGGTAGGAGTTAATGGGGCTCTATGTTCGTGGGTACCTATAAAAAGTGAGATTCCCCAAGGTACAATCCTAGGTTATCTTCTCTTTTTACTTTATGTAAATGAATTGCCAACTGTAGCAAAATCATCCGTCCTACTCTTCGCTGATGACATAAAGATTTGGAGACCCATACATAGTATGTCGGATAGAATAGTATTACAGGACGATCTTAGCTCATTGGTGGCATGGTTAGACAGGTGGTCACTAGAAGTAAATCCTAATAAGAGTGTAGTGATGCAGTTAAATAACTCTGATGAATCGTATGACTATACACTACGTGGATTCGTGCTACCTAAAGCAAGAAACTATAAAGATTTAGGAGTCATATTAAGTAATGATCTCAAAACGACTAGTCACTGTAAGGCTGCTGCAGCAAAAGACTATAGGGTATTATGGTCAATTCGTAGGTTTTTCCAGTATTTAGATGATGAAATGTTTAGATTACTATACCCGATTTATGTGCGACCACATTTAGAAAACGGGATTCAAGCAGTGTGTCCTTGTTTCAAATATGAAGCAGATATGCTAAGAAGAGTCCAACGACGAGCTACTAAAATGGTACAAGGTCTATCTGGCCTATCTTATGAAGACAGACTGAGACACCTTAACTTATTTCCGTTATCTTACTGTAGAATACGGGGTGTTCTAATATTGGCCTATCGTATACTGAACGATGACCTTGGTATTAACATGTCTTATCTTTTGCTTCCGTCTAGAACCGATCATTTGTGAGGACATTCGAAGAAAGTTCAAAAACCGAGATCAAACCGTTTACGTCTGGAGTTCCGTTTCTCGCACCGAATAGTGAATTACTGGAATTCTTTACCGGAACACGTAACATCAGCACCGTCTGTTAATATATTCAAAACGAGATTGGACCTCCACAGTATTACAAACTGCAAGGATTAATATAGGTCGACAGACCTCCTATTCTTATTAATGAAGACTGAGATTTCAACCCATCTTTATTAATCAGTCACCTATGATATCCTTGCAATTTTTACTGTACCAAAGTGAAATTTTTCCACAAGAACTATGCTATTCACTATACTAGATGAAATTCTAGATACCTAATAACTACCCGACTCTGCTTACCCAAAATACTACATATGCCGAAATCACGCCAAGAACTTCCGGTTCGAACCGTTTAACATTTGTTCAAGGTCCCACTTTGACCCCAAAAAACAAACATCCTGCCATCATTGCATAGAAGAGGAATTAACAGACAAGCTCTAAACAAATATAATTTTCTAAACACAAGTAGAAGTTCGCAAATGATATTAAGTTAAACTTTGTAAATTGTACAGATACCTCAAAGAGCAAAAGTCTTCACACTTTAGTAGTGGGATAGGGGGTCAAACAACCAATGTTAATCCTTGAAATTTGTAGTACAACCAAGGTTCAATCTCACATTGAATGTGTCTGTAGAATTTGTTGATATTACGTGTTCTGGCAGTGGCATTTTTTACTTGATGAGTTAATTTTATCGTTTTGAAAGTAAATTACGCATCAAAACTACTTTCTTCGCTTCAGTCGATCTTATTTAATTCAAAGTATTCGCCAGAAGGATCTTTTTTCCAAAGTAGTTTGTCATCGTTGTCTTTAAGTGCATTGGTTCTTTGTATTTGTTTGTACTTCAGTTGTAACATTTTGCAGTTTTCCACTTTTTTGTGTTTATCAGTTTGTTCGTCAGTGCGTCGGTGTTTATCAGTTTCTCTTGCCTATGGGTTTCTTTAGAAAACTTCTGATTGATTGCTGGGCAGTTCAAAAATGTAGTTACCATCTCTGAGGATGATGATACCCTGTGAAAAGTGTCATGCAGTGAGGTGAGTGCAGAGGATGTTACCATGAAGTTCGCACGAACCTAACGCCTGCTGCTTTTAAACGGTTTAGTAAACATATTTGTGTGCGGTTGTGTCAGCATTGCTGTTTGGGCGCAAAAAGCTTGTTGCCCAAAGCCATTGCAATGATGAACGCTGCCAAGGGGGAAAGACTGACTTAAAAGAGGTCTGTCCGAAATAAAGCTCAAGAAAGATAGTTTATCCTGTCCCCCGTCCTCCAAATGGAAGTCGGCAGGGAACGTCTAAAAAACCTAATCGTAATACTAGATCTGTTTCTAGAAGGATAAACAAATATATGACTACCCAAGTCATCGACGAGCATCCAGGACCTCACAATGTGTAAAGTGACTGTGATTGCTACTCAAACGATAGATGATGAATGGGTACAGATCGAGAATACGAAATGACATAAGGTTACCGAAGAAAAGACAGTCCACCTAAAAGCAGCCAAAAAATCGAAAACTGATCATAGAGACAGGTCAGTTAACTGTCATAGAGACAAGGAGAGTGAAAGCACAGAGCCTAAAACTGGTTCTGAGCATGACAATGAGTTGACAAAATAACTACCAAACCAGTTAATGCCTCAAGATATCTCTGGAGTCACCTTGCTAAAGTTTTATAAACTGGGTAATCAAGCAGACTTGAAACACAATCAACCCAAGCTGCTAAAGGTATTATTTAAATCCCCCGATTAAAGGGACGGAATACTACAGAATGGACATAAACTAAATGGTTCAGCAGTGTTTGTCCGCAAATAGTTATCATTTGCAAACCGTATGAAAAGACGAGCTAGTGAAAAAGAACTACAGCTTAGGTTAGATGCTTGCATAAAGGACCTCAAAATGCAGATTTTCGGGTGGTGAAACTTCAACAGATAACGATACCGGAGCCACTCTAGGCGCAGCACGAAGTCATTTAAATGGACTTCGGATCTGTTCTAAAAATTTCAGAATCTGGCTTAACGACCGATTGCAGCTAGGTGTTTAAATAAACTCTATCAATACGGTTGTAATCTAAGTTAAAGAAACTTAGTTGAAGCACTCTATAGACAGTATGGGACTTGATTCTCAAGGGTTTATGATTAAAGAGCCGATATAGTCCAGAAGCGCAAAGGAGGAGTAGCTTTATTTGTCAGAAATACTATCCCGTTAACCGTTATTGATAACGTAACCTATGAGAGTGAGACCTGTGAATTAGTTAGTTGCCGCTTGAAATGCAAGAAACAAGAGCTACCGATTAGTTTGATCTACCGAATTCCAAGCCGTGAGGTATGTGAGGACTAGCTAGACAGTCTCAATCCTTAGTCAAGAAGTGGTCGATGTTTAATCCTAGAAAACTTTAATACACGTAGGGTAGACTGAAAAAGTCTGAGGGCCGTCAGAAAATCCCTTCCAACAGGAACTAATCGATGCGGTTATCATATGTGCCCTAGTGCAACATGTTATAGAAGCAACTAGATACGCTCCAGACTCCGAATTATCCTTACTAGATCTTATACTGACCCATTACGAGGATGACGTTACGAACCTCGATTACACGCCACCTCTAGGTAAAAGTGACCACTCAGTTTTAAACTTTGACTTCCAAATAATTGTCAAAAACGAAATCGCGTCAGTTCGATCCAGACCTAACGTCTGGAAAGCAAATATACAAGATACCATACACTCAGCATCCTCAGTAGATTGGACGATAGAATCAGTCCGCCATCGAAAAGGCTTTGGGATGCATTTGGAAATTTATACTTAAAGGTCACGGCCCGCGCATCCCTTGGGCTACACCAAGGGGTTGAGAAACTCTTCATAGTGGTTCATACAGTATTCGTGCGTCCTAAACTTGAATACTGCACACAAGCGGCTAGCCCTTGCCTATAATGAGTCAGTGGACTGCAATTAGGCTGATTTTCGGCGTAGCAAAGCTCCCTTATGATGGTCGACTGTCTAAACTAAGCCCATTTCCAGTGTCATATCAAAGAAACAGAGGCGACCTGATCACAGTTTTCAAATTACCTAGTGGTAAATTTACACCTGATACGTCCTCACTTTTCTTGTCGTTGAAAACAGAGAATTTATGAGGACGCTCCAAAAATGTTAATAAGCCCAGGACAAATTACTTGTCAGCTGAGTATCGACGAATGGAATTCATTACTTCAATACGTGATTGAAGCTTCGTCTGCCGTCTCTTTCAAAAGAAAATGAATCAACTGAGACCACCATCGCCAAAAATAACACAGGCCACCTAGCCTCCTGTTCTGTTCTTATACTTTCCTCTCAAATGATCACTCATGGATAAAATGAAAAGGCAAAACATACCAGTACCAAAATCTTCATTTAGTATACATTAAGCCAAGATTGCATCACCACACAACCTGAAGTAAGATAATGGAAACAGGTTGACGCATCTCAGTCTGCTTTCATAAGGCAAGTCTGTGAGACCTTCCACCACTTTTGCCCCTCACTGTTGAAGTCGTTCTAGCATATCCACACCATGACTGAAGCAACAGTTTATTAGTTCGATTCCATATTCTAAGTGCTGATTCACAGACATCAAATGTAATACCCTAAATATTACTTTATACATGTAATGAAGTGACTTGCTAATAGCCCATAGGACTATGAAGTCTTTGGCAGTGACAGTTTTACGCGTAGTTCTAAGCTTGTCGTCTTCTATAATCGATTACTCAATATAACACCACTTCACTTATCGTTTGACTAAGGGAATCTTCGCATTTATATGGATGACATACTTACTAGAATCAACTTCTAATGATCACCGGTTCATCCATTTAACCAATGAACTTGGGCCGTCCTGTAGCACGACCCTACATGACACAATGTATGGGACCCTAAATCTTGATTTCATCAGCAGAGAGTAGAACAGATAAGTTTCATGCAGTTGCTAAGCCATCCAAAAGTAAAAGACGATAAGGGCCGAGGATCGCATCTTGAAGAACTCCACTTTTTACAAATTCTGGTATTTATAAGGCCTATGGGGATAATTAACACGAACTGATTTCGCGATTATTTCTTGGTATTATTCGCATTTTTCATTATTTCGTATAATATGAACGACAACTATTATTTACTTTTAAATAGTTTTTTTTAATATTTACCTTGATCTGTCGTTCCCGTCTTGTGCTCTATTAGTATGATAGATCGAATATCGCACACTAATACACTGTTGCACACACGTAATTCTTATTCTCACACATCATTTGTCGTGATAGTAAAACTTCAATATATTCGTTATCCACGTTTACAGAGCATATTTGTATTCTCATAACGTGATTACTCCGGATACACAATTATTATTATATCAATCATATTTGGAATCACTGACTGTTTATGATTGTGGGCTACAAGAAGAACAGACTCAAATACGCCTCCTACTGACAACTTAAGTAACATCTCAGATTTTTCTTTGTGCATCAGTTACGTCTCGGTGTATTAACAATTGTAGATGGAAAAGGAGAAGCTTTCGCTTAACGAGCTTAAATGTCTAGTAGCAATGGATCACCAATACCTCTTGTAATACCTCAGAATTTTAAAATCAATGGACGAAGCCCTCTACTGGCCCCATATAACGGTACTCTTTGTCTCCTGTTATCAGTAAAGTCACTTGTCCAGCCTCTAATTTCATAGTGGATTCCAGAACTCTCCAGTGCTGGCTGAAAACCCAGGCAAAATTATTTATCGAAGGTTTTACTCGAATCTAAGAAAACTACATCTACCATGATATTACTGTCTTTTAATAGATCCTAATCTCTTGCAATGAGAATATTTATTATTAATATTTTTATACACGCACAGACTGCCGATACACAAGTGTTGTGAGGAAACCATTTTGGGTTTATCAAGAAACTCAATTATACGAGGGTTCGCATGACTAGTTCTGTGAAATTTTGAAGAATTTTGAGATGAATATGGAGAAGAAACGAAGGAAATAAAAATGAAATATGGAATTAACTTAATGTGTATGTTTGTGGGAGAGAATAAGAATAAATAGTATTATATGGATTACAGAACGAATCAAAAAATAAAACGTTGATGCGTTAAGATTCGATGATCGAATAAGTGTTGATGCATGGTAAACGACTGGTGCAAACGCTGGAGGTTAGAGCTCAACACAGAGAAATGCGGCTGGTTATGTATAGGAGACAAATCTCTCAAAACGAAACTTACACTTAGCAATCACACACTGCCCAGACTGGCATCAGTAACTGACCTAGGGGTACATTACTCACACAGTCTTAATTTCTCTGAACACATCTCAGCCAAAGCATCCAAAATGCGGAAATTGCTTGGCTTCATTCTTCGTAATTTCTATCAAA